TTATATATATATATATATATATATATATATATATATATATATATATAATGAAAAACCATACCTTTTTTCTCTCCTTCTCCAAACTCCTAAACTGCTCGTAACACTCATCCAGGTAGAAGTGAATCTGGAAAGCGGGTCCTTCTTGATTCATCATAAGTGAAGCCGTCAGCGCTGAGGCCATGCCATGATAGGTGCTCTCCCCTCTGTGGTTCTTCATGTCGCTGATGAAGGAGCTGAATGCTGCATCATTAGTGGACCTCATGCCGTTCATGTCCATGTGAGGCCCACGGTTTTCACATGGCAAGATGGATCTGGAGCTGAGGTTTGAGTTCATGGCCATGCTGGAGTATCTCCTGAAGTCATTCAGAGAATACGGAAGAGGCGTGAACTGCTGCATGTTCCCTGGACTGATCATGATGTTCTCTCCGTCACGTCTCTGGGACTGCATGTTTCCCTGGAAATCAAAGTACGGATTTTGTGAGAAGCGCTGTTTGTCTCCCTCTGCCAGGTGTGCATTGGTTTGTTGCCTTCTCGAGAAGCCTTCTCCTGTAAATCCAGGCATTTGCATCATCTTGTTTTCTTTCTCCATTTGCGGCTTGATCTTTTTCTGGCTCTGCCTCGTATAATATTTTGAATACTGGTTCATGCTTTGATGATTGTGGTTGTCTACATGCATTATCATCTTGTGCTGGTTCGGGAAGGTCAGATGCGCTGGGAACGGCTTTGGTTTCTGAAAGTACTCCATGCGCTCGGAGCTGAACTCTGGAAGATCTTGGAAGTCGTCAAGTTTAAAGTTTTGTTTCCTCACATCTCCTATTCTTCCATTCTGCATTTGCTCCAAGTGGCCAAAGAGCTCCTTCTGGGTCTGCGTTGGGGGGAAATTCTGTGTCGACGCTGTAGGGTCGTTGGGCTTCCTACACTGTTGAGCCAGTCCTCCTCCTCTGACCATGTCCACCGTTGGTTTGTGCATGCCTGGAAAGTCTCCACAACAGCCGCTACCATGATCTGATGGCATGAATGACCGAAAGCTGCTGACCAGTTGATTCATGTCTTCTGGCACACAGCGGTCGTTTAGGAACGGATTTATGGTCTTTGGATTGTAGTGGTCTTCGCATAAATCGTCAAGGCACGAGGCGTTTGCATCTTTCTGAGGTCTGAAGATGTCGCTCAGCACTGGGACGTTTTTGGAAGGCGCATCATTCCCTCTGCTGTTATAAGGCGGCATGCTGATGTGTTTATACTGTTGAGACAGATCAGCGGCTACTTTGTTGGACAACGGTAGTCCTGGGGGCAGCTTCTGAGGACGAATGGAATAACTGCCTCCATTTGGTGAATTAAACGACCACTGCTGATTCCCAGCTAGTCCACTGGACAGCTGACTCAGCTCGTTAACTTCTTTGTCTACCGGCTGTTGTGTTTTACTGAAGGCCTCATGGGGCAGATGGTTTGGTATGAAGGAAGGGTTGTTGAATGTTTTAGGTTCTGGTTGAAAATACTGTAGTAACTCTTCTTTCAGTGTCTTTGGAGACCAGATAGGGTTGCATGTAGGTAGGCTTAAAAAAAGAGATAATAGGATTTATTGTCAGAGTTTATGGAACATATGTCCGTTTTATTTGATGTCATAATCTGTACAGCAATTCATATGAACTTAATATGTAACAATAAAACCCTGAAATACCTTTCACTGTAGAAGTTATCTTGTGAATCTGCTTCGTCCAAAATATTTGAAACAAGACCCTGAAGGTCTGCTTCAGCATCACAGTTGGTATCAGTCTGTTTCCTTCAAAGAAAAACAAAATCTGATATTGAAATGATGTTCTACGACTAAGCATTAGGGTCATTGTATATAAAAGAAAAAAAAAAACTAACCATGAAGGAGTACATTTCTGTCAAAAAACTCTTATTTACAAAAACCATACCGTGTCTGACTTTATATTCTCAGGAAACTTCTGACCATGGATAATTTTAATTTTTCTCTAGCAAATTTACATTTTTTTAACACTGAAATTATTTCTATAATTTCTATAATTCTATTATATGAAATTGATTAAATATATGACAGCTGCTGCCCTCGCGACCCGACCCCGGATAAGCGGCAGAAAATGGATGGAAAATGGATGGATGGATGGATATATGAAATTAATCTAAAAATTTCCAAGTGTTTTGGTGGCAAATTTTTGTTTTCTTTTAATCACCTTTAAGCTGTGTTCTAGGTATTCTGTGCTCATTAAACATCTTTTTATTTAAACAGAAGCTCTTAAGTAGAACAAAATTAAAAAGTATTACCTATTTTGAGAAATAAATTGCACATCTATAATACTACACTTTGTCCTATAATAACAGCAATACCTGTTCTTAATGGCAGTCTGGGTATATCTGAGTTCATACTGATCATCTTGAGACTCCTGAGACCAGGAAACATCCGAAAGCTCACAACGTGATGGAACTGGGTTGGGAATGAAGGGGACTGACATGCAACCACTTTTACCACCTACATTAACACCTGTCTAAAAGAGAGAGAAAGATTAGATTCAACAATGTGCTTCTTTCTTCCTCACATGTCAACTGGTCTTACAAATGAGGTTCTGAACACTTCACACCTGGTATAAACTATAAATTATTCAGTTGGACTCTCCATATAACAGCCTGTATCCTCATCTGGATCATACAAAGCTGCCATACAAACAACATGATTTCTTGCTTCCTTTTCAATTTTTGTAAAAAAAAAAAAAAAATCCTCTATATGTTACTGCTCAAATGTACAAGATGTTTAATTAACTAAAAATATGTCCTGTTTCTCTTTTGTGTTAAATTTGTCAGCAACAAATCTGAAGACACCCGGAAGCGTAGCAAGAAATATAGCTTTTTAGATCTTAAAAATCATCCCATTCAGCTCATTTGCCTATCGGATGATGTCAGCTTTCCAGCACTGTGAGGATGTTACTTTTCTAACAAGCTCAAGCTGATATGACATCTTTCACCTACAGATAAGGGAATTATTACCCATAATAAAAATAAAAACTCAGACTACAGATTCAAAAGGCCAGTCATATGCAACATATATTTGTTTTACAAAACAATATATGTCAAATAATGTCAAATCTTCAGAAAATTAGAATACAAAACATCAATATTAAAAAAAAAGGTTTTCAGGCATTTTGAGTTCTGCATACATATACTGCATTGACAACTGTAATTGAATATACTGTAAAGCTTTGCTTACCTTCAACCCAATAGAGAACTGAATAGCTTATTGTCAAGAAAAAATAAGACACCAAGTCCAGGAATACAGATGAGGAAAAGGTTGCACTTAAAGCAACCTGTACTTCCTTTACCACTTCATAGAGGGCAACAGAGCGATTGCTTTTATCCTATGCCACAACAATGTAGTAAGTTCTGCATAAGAACCAAATCAATAATTAAATAACTTTTTCTGCCTTTTGATAATCATAATTTAGGCTTTTCATTTGCTGTAAACAATAGCCATCAAAACGAACACACACAAACGCTATAAATGTGTCACTCCAGATGTTATGTTTCACTTTTTGAATTTAATTATTTAAAATAATTTAACATTTTAATAGTCTTGAAATTTACTGAAGTGTATTTCCTTAAAAAAAAAAAAAAAACATTAATTGGAGGTGTTCCAATATTTTTAGGCTGTCATATGTAAATGAAACCCAAAAACCTAAATTTGTAATTTTTCAGTTACTAGTTATATAACTATGATTGTCAGGAAAAAAAAATGCCATCCAAGGATTTTCGTAAGTACTTTGTAATAACAATAACATGCATGTGCATTGCTTTCAAATAGTTTTAAACAAGAAATTAAACTAATTAAACACCATTGTCCAAGATATTAGATGCAGGAACTATATAGAAGGGTGGGGGGAGGAATCAGAATTCCAACTTACCTGACGCTGACATGGCTGAAACAGTGAATTTCCCAAAGTGGTCTGATGCCCGTCAAACGCCATTCTAAACTCTGGCCGATTCTTCAGTTCATTACTGGGCTAGCAAGAAAAAGGCCAAGTATTTCATTGTTAATGCCATTTAACCCCTGTACAGTAAATACAATTATCTAGGTAAGACATTTTTTTACAATTTTAGTTTAACTGTAGTCGAAGAATAGCACACCAGATAGCTAATTTGCCAAATTTAACAAGCCGTTAGAAGTGGACCTGGCGCTGCTTAAGCTAGCTTTCTTAGCACGTACCCTCACGTTTCTAAACTGACATACGTCAACTTATCTAGTCGGTATAACCGTCGAACACCAAAAGAAAAAGCTCTGAATGAAATTTTATGGGGGAAAAACACTTTTAAGAGTTTTACCATTTCCTCCAGAAGTCGACCGAATAACTCTCGGGACCTCTCGAAGCCCCCCCGAACCTGGCTTCTTCTTGTCCGGGGTTCGATACTGTGCGTTGACGACTTGAACGCGCATTGGCTGAAAGAATAGACGATCACTATTTAGTCCAATTATCAAAAAGCAGCAGATCTGTCAGCATAGCAACATCTGGTATCAACTCCTCCCCTTTGATTTAGAAGAGACGCAGGTGGTCCAGAAATGTCTAGCTCCGGGGTGGGCGATCTTTACAGCCTAAAGAGCCATTCCCCATCTCTGACCAGCCAAATGAAATTTGTTTAAAGCTGCAAATGTCACAAGACTTGAAAAAAGACAACATATAATTTTAGATAAATGTCTACTCTCGGAAATTTGTCGCGATTTTCTAAGAGCTAACATTTAATCTTTATTTCTGTCTTAAAATAAAGATAAACATAAAATTTAGCAAACAAAAGATGGATTTCTTTTTTCCTGTGGGATGGAAATGATGGGTAAAATTATGGGCTAAAGGAGTAAAAGTGGCGGAATACAAATGATTGGCACACTTTTATATTTTAAATTAACTGTTGAAATGTGTGTATCCTTTTCCTCTATAATTACAGTTATACATTGTGCTGCTCTGTCATGCAAAACCCCATTAAAATATATAGAATTTTGTGGTTGCAATGAAACAAAATGAGAAAAAAAAGGGTTAAGATTCTGTGGTCCAGATCCAGTGCTTTAAGTTTTCTCTGGTTTTATTTTAGTTTACATCTTTTTCTGGATGACTAACTAATGTTCATTAGTAGTTTCCAGTATACAATCAGAATATTGTGTGGGCTTTTTTTTTTTTTTTGCATCTTGTGGTTTCCTCATGGTCTCCTATGTCTACACGTGTGCAACTGTTGGTTGAAACGCCTTGAGAACTGGAGACCAGACAGTCACAGTCAGTGTGTAAAACCAATGAAGCAAAAACCAAGCAGGAACCTTTATGCAGCAGGTCAACAGTCAAACTGACACTGGGGGAGCTCCATAAAGGAGAGTGTGTTGGGAATCTTGGGCCTTAAACTGTTCAAGCATTCAGTGTAACTCAACCCGTGTTTGGGGAAGGGAATAAAATATACTTCTGAGAAGCTCATCTTGCAGTTACAAAGAAATGAATGCATTTGTAAACAATTCTCTCTTATTAGCAAATATTATTTGTAAGAATATTACTACAAGATCAAATAAATCACCATTGTAGAAAACATCTGTGAATGTTTTGCTGTTAGATTAATTAATTAATTGATTAATTAATTAATTAATTAGTTAATTAATTAAATAGTTAGTTAGGGATTTTTATTTACTAGTTTTCAGCCACTGCTTGTCTCGTAATGGAGCAAATGACCCAATTTAGTTCATAACCACTAACGGGCCTGCTGCCATGTACAAAATTAACCTCTAGGTGGAGCCAACTCTCTCCCTCCTGTTGGTGGTGCAGCTGCTTCTACCAGCTTTACAAAGTGGTAGAAGCAGATCATGCCATTTTTCATTTCAGACTTCACGGCTTAAAAAGACCCCGTGAATAATTTCTCTCGTGCTTCAGCTCTTTTCCAGTTATTTAAAAAAAAAACCTTTCCTGCCCTTCTTAAAAGTTGAATACAAACAAGTGTTGGTAGTGCCACAAAAAAAAAATGCATTCATGTTAATATATTAGGGGCTTCTATTAAAAAAAAAAACCACATGATAGAAAATGGCAGCCTTTCTTGGTACAGCTGATGAGATGCAATTGTGTTCCTAAAATAATATTTTAGTTTGTTTTTACAATGGTGTAATGAAGTTCTAATAAGTGGAGCTCTACATGCATTGATTTCCATTCCAAATAGTGTCTTGTCACGGTGCAGTTAACTATAGAAGTTGTCACTTTTGCTGTTCCTGCCAAATAATGGAAATCAGTAAGGGTTTGTTTGGTATTTTGTCTTTGGCCCTGAACCCCATCCGTTAGCCAGATATGTAAATAATGACTCCTTCTGTTCCCTGAACAATCTGATTGACCTGAAGGACAGGAGAGGCCTTCACCTTTAAATTACCTTTGCAAAGGAATGTAAAACTTTAACTCTGTGTAGGTGGGGGGGTTGGATCTGTTATGGCTCAGGTTGAGGAATAATTGTAGTGTCAGTTTGCCTTTTGACTTTGCTTTTATTTTACAAGAAACTACGTTTATTCTAAAATACATGCAGACCAAACAGTTGGAGGAATAGTAACTAGAAAAGGTTACGTTGAACAAAATAAAGTCTGTGTAAAAACGTAAACAAAATATTTTAGCTAAGGTTTATTCTAAGAGGAGACTATTCAACATTAATTTTGTATAAAATTAGTTGTGTCTTTTTTTCTGATTTTGTTTTTATGTGTTTGTGCCTTATTGTGTGTTTTTCTCTTTAATTTTACTGGTTTCTGATTTGTTTGTATTTCAGCACCTTTGCTTGAAACTTTAGACTTCAGTCTGGAGATTTTATTTGTCCACCTAATTGTGACTATTTCTGATTTCAGATTTCCGAATCTGTCGCCCACTCAGATAATAGATGTTTCCACCATCTACAATCTTAAGCTTTAGTAAACAGATGATAGAAATGTTTTCAAGAATAGGAACTTCCTCGAAGGATACCTGCAGACAAGCTACATGCGGGTATAATAATCAAAACCCAAAACCTAGGAGATTCGTGTTCCACAATCCTTTTATGTGCAACATCAGCTTTAATTACATTACACTTTTTTTTTTTTTGCTTCATGTCAAAAACTCTTACAGTTATTCAGTGTTTCATGCAGCTTTCTTTTAACAACCAACTTCATCTGAACGTTCTCTGTTCTTCTCAGGAATCTGTCATGGCTGATTAAAAGCTTTGTGCCTTGCCGTATTAGTAGAGGTGTCCATCATGTAGTGTAGTAGTGGACAACAGTGGTGCCTTATTTTTGTGCTACTTCCATTAAATTTTGCAAGAAATGTCAGCATTTTCTTTATAGAGATTGTAACAAGCTAAGTGCTGTTAAGAAGATGAGTATAGTTTTGATGAGGCTAACAACCTTTCTTTTTGACAAGAAGATATTTTTACCTCTAATCGAACAGTGCTGTCTACCTTGCATCTATAACTTGTGCTACACCAACCTGCTTTCACTAAACATCAATCTCTATGAGATTAGGAATTCCACTCACACAGAAACTAACACAAGCCCCTGGCAGTGCTATTCTTTGTGACCGGTGATGTGGAATTTGGAAAGCGGGGATGGGAGCGAGGTGGAAACTGTTGTTATGCTCCTTTCACTGGTTGTCACTTGCTTAATGCACAACTCATTTCAGTGCTGGCATTTAAGGTTTATGAGCAGTTATGTGCAGATTGTTTGATTATTACTTTTTTCTTTATTTTAACCTAACCGATTCAGATTGTGTGTTTGGTGTGCCGTCTACCTCTACAGCACACAGTCTAAAAACAACAGAGCCCTTGAGAGAGGGAGAGTTACCCTAGCAGTGGATGGGTCGGTTGCCTTAGAAAGGGCCACCTTGTGTGTGTAGGGATAATACTGTCAGAGGAGGGATTTAAAACGCTCCTGTTCGCAATCAAAGCTTTACGGTAGTCACACTTGGGATGAATGTGCTGATGTCAGGCATTACAAAGTTCAGCTGAAGCATCGATAAGTTACCAGTCAAATAGAAACCAACGGACAGCAGTGCATTCAACAAACGGTGCACAATATGACCTTTGCCTGGGTGGTGGAGATAAGCCCTTCCTTTCTTTTTCTTTTTCTGCCTTTCCCTGTTTATCCAGAGTGCGTGTCTGTTGTCCATGATGATAAAAAGACGGGGGGTTGTAGTAGATGCGGGTTGTGGTTACAGTGAGAGATTCTACGAAGATTAGCAGCTGCCTTTCACACCTGAAAGGGTCTCGGTAAGACAAGATTTGTCACGTAGGTGGAGTCAGTGCAGTTATAGGAAGGGTGAAAGAAGAGGGTTTTACAGAAAAGTGTGAGGGCAGAAAGCAGAGCCGTTGCTGGCTCAACAGGGAGGAGTGTAAACAAAAGTGACTTGTTGATTTTTTTTTCTTCTTTTTTTTTATACAGAAGAGAGTTCAAGCTGTGGAGGCTCACACCACAAACCCAGAAAGGAAGTGTGATAACCAGTCCGAGAAACAACTTTGTAACTTCATTTTTTTGTTCTGTCTAGACCCTGCAGGGCACTCTAAAACAGACATGAACGGAGACAGGAGCAAACAGCGTTATGTGTCAACCTTCAAGCTTCAGCTCCAGCCATCACGTCCCTCATGTGCACAGAAAAATGGGACAAGAACAACAGACATCAGGACTTCTGGAAAATGTTCGGAACCAGGTAAGAGCTGAAGATGGGGTTAGAAAACCAGAGAATGTTTTATTTCAGTACTTTCATTTGTCACATTTTCCTTGGTACTAATATCAGTAGTTCAAGCAGCAAGTCTGAACACGGCAATGCATCTCATAAGTTGGCACACTGAATTCAAACACATTGCAGCAGGGCTTGTTTTTAAAGTACACATTGCACTCATCACAGTTTTTTCCAAATAGGTTATCTCAATATGTCTTCATTGTACTTAATCAAACATCTTTAGCTTTCCTTTTAGTCCAAAATGTCATATTTTGTATGCTAACAAACTTTTTTTTTTAAATTGTGCTTCTTCCTCTTTTCTTGTTACAAATATGCATAGTTTCCAACATTTAAATCTGCTACATTTTATCATTCCTTTTTAGCTCATCATGCATGCATTTGTTATTCAAAGTATTGCACAAAGTGTTTGGACATCAATTATCATGTGGGATGCATGACTGCACACTTTCGTTTGTCAGTCAAAAAGCTTTTCTGCTGCGTTTGGCATGTTGCAGTTTCAGCAGCTGAGAAAACCAATAGACAGGTATCTGGTTTTTCAGTAAGAATAGAAGATGGTTGTGAGAGCAGTCCCCCGAATTAAAGGCTCAGCTTAAGTAAAAAATATGATTTGAAGAAAGAGTGATAAAGATTGACCTTTCTCGTGACAGTTTCCAAATATGTCCTAACACAGAACGTTTTGCACTAAATTAAAAGCTTTAAGCAACTGAATGTTGCAGGCAAAATTCTTACTTTGATAAACCATAACTTTATTGCTTAACATGCACCTGTAGAAGTATCATGCAAGCAGTGACACTTTCTGTCAGGCTGCATCTCCAACATAGCACTTTTTTTTTTTTTTTTAACAAGGCCATGCCAGAAGAGGAAGGGAAATTCTTGAGAAAGCAGCAGCCAACCCCCGCATGGCCATCTTCCAAATCTAACAAAATAACTCAAGTTCTATCAAAGAGAACAAGGTATTTACCTTCGGAGCATTATTGCAAAATTTGTGCACACTCCTCCCCCAGAAAAAGCATGCTTTCATTAAATTGTGCCGTTAATATCTAGCTTTTCTGTGCCATGGTCACCTCCTTTAACATGAGAAGGAATAAAAAGATAAAGAAGTGCAACCATTTTTTGTTACTGAGAGAAAAATAACTTGCATACTTCCTCGTATACTATCTTAATTTCTGTTGTGAAACGTGTTACGTGTTAAGAAACAGACGCAGAGCAAATTGTCTACTTGATGCAGTGGTTCGAAATGTTGTTATTGGTAAGAGAGCTATTTTGATCATGTTCTCCAAATGATATCAGGTGAAAAAAAAATGTTGTCTATGACTAAAGGCACTGTATTACTTTATTAGGTCTACCTGTTCAATCGCTTGTGAACAAATAGTTTTATAGGGTAACAACTTTCATATTTCAGAAAATGTTGGTCTGCAGCTTTAGCACCCCACCTTTTGGGGTTGTGCACAGAAAAGACCCAGTGAGAAGGAGTTGTGTGAATTAAATTGCCTTGTTGACGTCAAAGTTCAGAGGAGGAAGGGAATACTGGTTTGAGAAGCTAGAGTGGCAGCTCAGGTAATCACTCATCACAACCTAGGTCTGCAGAATATAATATTTGAATGTCCAACATGTCGAAACTTGAAGCAGATGGGCAACAGCAGCAGAACACACCAGGTGTCATCCTGCCAGGAAACCGAGGGTACCATTAACACAGTTGGATAATTGCAAATTGGAAAAGCACATTCTGATGTCAGAAATTGGTGTAAACATCTTAATTCATGGTGGTGGTGATAGTTTCTTCTCACACTCTTGGCCCCTGTTGAGCACTGGCACAACTATCTAAAGGAGGACAAGTCACCATGTTACGAAGGTCAACTAAACTCAAACTGGTTTCTTGAACGTAAAAAAAAAAAAAAAGAATTCATTAAACTCCACTGGCCTTCATTGTCATCAGATTTCAACCTTTTAGATCTGGTGGGATGGGAAACGTACATAGAGGACGTCTATTCAACAATCTGCAGGGACTGTGTGATGCTCTAATGTCAATATGGACAAAAACCTTTTTGCATTATTGTCTCCTGTTGTAGATTCATCAAAAAATCTGCACCCACCTGTATTCATAAAGCCACTTGAAGACTGCTGTGTGGATGAAGGAAGTGACTTAGTGCTAAGAGGAGTTCTCACAGGAAGTCAGCCCATCAAAGTTACATGGCTGCACAACGGTAAGCAAAGAATAAGGTACATTGTTGTATCCTTGCTCAGTGACAGATATTATTGTCTCACAATACACACTGGTAATCTAATACAGAAAAAAAAAAGTCTGGAATCTACAATCCAAACAAATTAACCTCTGACTTACAGGAGTAGATAAAATATGAATGCTGTTTTGCATTGGAATTAAAGCTGACTGAAGACCTGAAAGTTATCCAATACATGTTTAACTTTCAGATATGATGATTTTTATAAATCGGTTTAATCTAAAATGGGAGCTTAAGATTGGAATGAGGTCAAAATAAGAAATTTCAAAATTTCCAACCACTATCAGAACCTGGACAGCAAAATGAAAAAGTTCTCTTCCTCCACACTGCCATTTGAACAGCTATCTAAACCGCTAGCATAGCAGTAGTTCAGCTAACTCCTAAGAAAATTTTAAGTTGGATGTTGTTAGGGAAAAAGTTGTTTTCAACACAAGATTTGGCTCCTTTTCAGTATTTCTTCCCGATTCTCGAACACCCCTTGTCTCTGTCTGTAACACTGACTGTACCCACTTTAGTTAAATCAAGCTATCCCTTTGCTAGCGAAGAAGTATGCTTCTAATTGTTTTTATTTTAATTGGCAGGTGAAAGGGTGCGTTTTGGAAACTCCTCCTTGAATGGCCATGATGTAAGTTTTGTGGTGAGGGAGTGCTTGCCAGAAGATGCTGGGGCTTACACATGCTTGGTTGAAAATGGCGCAGGGAGAACATCCTGCAGTGCAGCTGTGTTTGTTAAAGGTAAGAGAGATCAACATATTTTCATAGTAGTTAAAAAGAAGTTAGTAATTCATGAACAAGGAAGTTAATTTTTAACAGAGTTAATGACTAATATTTTCTGAATAAAGAACTTGCTCATTTTGTACATTCTGTTACAATACACCAAGCTTCCCTCTGCAGGAATCCACAAATCTCCAACAAAAACGCTACTTGGCCAAGTAGCATTGAGACAAGGTCAAATGATCCCAGAAACCTCTTGAAACCACTCTACGTAACCATCAATTGACCAAGTTTGTGCCAGAAGTGCCACAATTAATTAAAACAGAATCAATGGAGCAAATATTAACATTTCAAAGTGTGTTGTATCAAGTTGCCAATTAAAACGTGTTGGGAACTATGACATAAAAGAGAAACTGGGGTGGAGGTTCATCTTCCAGCAGAGCAATGACACAAAATATTCAGTGGATTGGTATTCATGCATCCAATTTTTAGACCTATATTCAACTGAAAATCTGAGTCAGAACTTGAAAATACCACCGGTGTGCAAAATACAATTGCACACCTTTTTTGTTGTTGATAAATAAAGCATGTATCATTTTTCTTAAACATCACATTTATGAATTGCTTTGTTTTGGTCTACTATACAAAAACCTAATAAAAGGCAATGAAGTTTATGTTTGTAAATGGATGCAAAAACCTGTGACTGATTGTGAATACTTTCGCAAGACACTGTAAGAGCTTACCAGAGTTTTATTGTTGATATTGCCTCTTTTCTTTTCCTCTTAATTTCCAACCAATACAGACTTCGAAAGTATGTACGGTGTCACAAAGATTCCCACTTCTGCATTCAAGAGCACTGTACAAAATGGCCAGTCTTCACAAACCTCCAAAGCTGAGTTGCACAAGAGTAATGGATCTATTTGTACATCGCCTGTAACGTTTGTTCAGCAGAGCCCAGTCTCTTCACCGAAAGGTAAAGGCATCATCACACTTTTCAATAGCATCTTAATTTGTGGCAATTTCCATTATTTATTTGAAAGGAAGCCATGTATATATATTACTTTTTTCCTGCATTTAAAACCCAGAACCATATCTTAACCTCAGGATGTTCCTGTTTAGTCTCTGAAAGGAAACTCACTTCCAGTCCTTGCGTGATTGGCTGTCAGGCAACGTGTATACCAATTGTAAAAGCCTTCCTCAACAATGTGGCTCCCTGATACACCCACTGAAGGTTTTCATTCCCAGTTAAACACCATGTAGGGAAGTGGACATTGCACTTCAAGTTCACTGAAACTTCCTGAGTCTGTGAGCTGATAGCCATAGTAGTCAGAGTTGAACCACACCTTCGTTTTCAGCAGCTTAAACCTGCCTGCTTTTCATCTCTCTGCACAGCAGTCATCCCAAAGAAGAGAACCAACTCAACAGGTGAGAAATACTTTTTTTTCTTCTTCTTTTTGTTTTTTTTTTTGCCAACCAAGTAGCCCAGATATAAATCAAAACAAAACATTCCCATGTGTTGTTTAATATATAATTTTTCATTTTCTTTTTTTCTTTTTTAGTCACTGCTTTTTTTTGTTGAATAAATGTAACTTGTAATTGTGAGTAGTTTGGTGTTTACGCTGTTTGAATTGGGGCTGCAAAAAAAACACAAAAAAAAACAACAACAAACATGAATTGCTTTTAAGTTATTGTGCTTTATTATGTTGAAAATCTTTGCCTAAGGGTGTTAGCTGCCTGAACAAAAGCATGAGAAACGCACATGATAATGCCAGGCCATCTGTTGTAGAGTAAACATACTGTGTCATATTTCTTTTTTCTTGTTTTTTTTTTATTATAATAAATTAGATATGAAAGGTGGAGAGAAATTAGACACAGTGAGTTAACTGTTACCATTAAAGCCTTTTAAAACATATTTATCTTTCTAAGGTCATTTAAATTTACCATCCACAATATTTACATACTGATAGAGTGTGAGAAGACGATAACCTAAGCTCATATATGGACTTGTGTTCAAAGAGTGAGCTGTTTTACCTGCATTTAACATGAGCTACGTTAGTGAGTATATCATTAGTGTTTTGCTCTTTGTTTCTACATAAGACACTTGATATTCCTGTATACCACAATAATAATGGTATCAGGAAACCGAACACATTCCCCCCACCATACAGGACAGAACAAGGCCTAAAACCCTCTGCAAGACATTTTTTTAGTCTTTATCTCTAACTTACATTCCCTGTTTTATTGTTTCCTTCCAGCATGATAAAATGAAACTCTGACCTCAAAGACAAAACACTCCTGTTGTTTTGTCTTTATAGGCCCAGTATTGAGCTTTCAAAATCCACCCCAGCATTTTGAAGTGAAGGTGGGACAAACTGCCAATCTGACTTGTTTTTTTACCGGAAGCCCCCCTGTGGTATCCTGCTGGATCAGGAACAAAGAACAGGTAAAAACAAAGCAAATGCCCAGCTGTTGAGTTCTCCACAGTATTTATCTAACACTGTGGTTTTTCTTTTGTGTGTGTGTGTATGTGTGTGTGTGTGCAGATAGTTGACGGTCCAGAATTGCGGACAGAACATACAGAACAGAGCAGTACGCTGGTCATAGCAGAGGCTACGGCGCAGCACACAGGACGCTACACTGTGGTAGTGAAAGACCGCAAAAGCTCAGCCCAACACACGCTTACCCTTTCTGTCATAGGTAAGACAATAACATACATCACACTCAGTGGTCATTTTATTAAGTGGACCTTGATAACACAAGGTTGGACCCATTTTTACCTTCGGAACTGCCTCAAATCTTTATGGTACAGATTCAAGAATATGACAAACATTCCTCGAATATTTTGATCACGTCACACAGCTGCGAAGCATTCGAACAGTTAAAGATTCTGTTCATTTAAAACCCAATAAATCAATAAACAGTTAAGAAGGCTGATGCACTACACTCAATAATGTCTACCAAGAAGTAAAGATACAACAGTGTATGTTGTCTTTGCCTAGCAATATCACTATGCGAGGCTGACGTCCTGTGAGAACGTCCAGCAGCATGTTGTCAGTTCCTTCGTTATAAAGACGGATCTATTCAGATTTTTAAGAGAATCTGCAATGAAAAGAGGTGGTAAAAAGATTTTGGTAGGATCACACAATTTCAGTGAATTTGTTCACTGTGCACGTGAATGTGAATCAGCCAAAGGAGCTCTGCTAGATGGAGATCTGATGGACGTGGAGGTGATTTGACTACAGTGAACTCATCATTATGTTAACGAAACTCTCAGTGCTCAGTTGGCTATGTGAGCACTAAGGGACTCATAATGGGACAAGAAAATATCCACCACACCATTATACCACCAGCAGTCTGAATACTTTACTTCAAAGCATGATGGATCTATGCTTTATTTACACTAAACTATGACTCATATGAATGTCTGAATGAAGACTCATAGGACCAGGGTTTGTTTTATTCAACCTGTTATTGTCCAGTTTTAGAGAACCACTGTGACAGCTGGTGTGGTATTCAGCTGCAGCAGCTTATTGGCTTTAAGGTTCCGAAATATGATGGTCCTCTCAGTTTGAACCAGCTTGCCCTTCTCCATCATCTTTCCAGACCGTCCAGAGCCTCCTGCTTCGGGCCCGGTGGCCTCTCTCTTATCTCCATCCAACCTCGTGCTGTCCTGGTCGGGACCCTGTTACGACGGCGGCAGTGCTGTCCTGGGCTACGTGTTGGAACTGAGAGACCAGGGACTTTCTGAGGCTGGGAAGTGGAAAAAACTCACTGCCAAGTGTGCCAGCACCTCATACCAAGTGTCATCCGGGCTGCAACCAGGACAGGAGTACTGTTTCAGAGTGAGGGCTTACAACGCAGTGGGGGAGAGCGATCCCAGCCCAGTTTCAGCAGTGGTGAAGATGGAGGAATCAGGTTGGGTGTTATTTGTGTCTGGAACCATATCTGAAAGTTGTAATTATAATAGGAAGTCTTTAATCAATATGTTGTGTTTGCATTTGTAGATTCTAAGAAAACACAAGAAGAAGCCATTCAATACTCCTGTGTCACTATTGATTCTTCCCACAAAGTTACAGATCACTACAACTTGCATGAGAAATTGGGAACGTGAGTATCTGCAGCCCACACATTTTCTAGCACTTGTTTTTCTTGGAGCTTAAGCCAAAACTCCCCTTTCTCGAGAACTTCAGTTAGAGTATTTTGGAAGAAAGAAATTAAGAGTAGCAGTATGGCTGGAGGGGAAATTCTGCCAGGAGATGTGATTACAACATGAGCTTGCAGAAACATGTTCCTCCAACGATTCAGAGTTTATAACGTAAAGTGCCTTGATGTGTATCTGTAAAAAACGAATGCAATTTGACTCTGACAGTTGAAGAAAGAAATAATAACTCATCTAAAATGCACGTGTTGTCTGTGTTTGATTTTTCAACCGTTTCAATCACGTCTCTTCATTCGTCACTCGCAAGAAGCCAAATTTTCTCGTAATCCTTTCAAGTAACCTTAATCTTCAGACTCTCTGAAGGTTGTCCAAAGTATCTAGTCCTTTTTAACCTTACCATGACACAAATGCAAATTATGGGTAAAAATACTTTTAGGGGTTTAAGCACACTTCAAAGATGAAATGTGTCTAAAGGTCATGCTTTGACAAACAGAACTGAAAGAAATTCAATTAAGATTTGACAGAGAATGATAATCTTTTAGTTTGTCCATCCACTTTATGCAAACAGTTTGCATAAAGTGTCTCACTAGTGGAAGGCATTTTATTTTATTTACGCTAAACTGCATGATTTCTATACTGTAATGAACTTGCTAGCTTGTATCTGTTGAGATGTTATTGTATGGTCACTTTCATGCCTGAAGATTTTAGGCAAAACCGACTTCTGTCCTCTTCAGGGGAAAGTTTGGCTTGGTGTTCAAGCTCACCCACAAGGAGACGGGCCATGTGTGCGCGGGAAAGTTCTACAAAGGACGGCGAGCCAAAGAGAGAGAAGCTGCTCGTAAAGAAATCGAGCTGATGAATCACCTCCACCACCCCAAGCTGGTTCAGTGTCTGGGAGCATATGATCATAAACCAGAGATGGTCATGGTAATGGAGTTGTAAGTACCATCATGTCAAATTCTCATTAAAACACAAAATTTTGGTTGTCTGCCAGATGTCAGAGTTGTATTTTATTTATTTATTTTTCCTGTAGTATTGCAGGTGGGGAGCTCTTTGATCGCATTGTGGATGACAGCTTTGAGTACACAGAGCCTGGCAGCGTGCGCTGCATACAGCAGATTCTGGAGGGGATCGCCTTCATGCATCAGCAGAAAATTGTCCACCTGGATCTGAAACCTGAAAATATCGTCTGCGTTGACACCACTGGCACTTGCATAAAGATAGTTGACTTTGGATTAGCTTGCAAACTTGGTACGAAAAATCAAATTCTTTTCCCATTTATGCATCTTACTTGTGTTGGATACGTGTTCTCAGTTTGCAATGCGCGTTTACACAGATGGGAACACGGCTGTGAAGGTGATGCACGGCACTGCTGAGTTTGTAGCACCGGAAGTTATCAGCTACGAACCTGTGTGTTTGGCCACTGACATGTGGAGCATCGGCGTCATCTGCTACATCCTGTGAGTCACCTTGTTGTCTCCGCCACATCAAAACAGCACTTTGACAGTTATTCGTTTTATTGCCAAAATGCAAATCAAAAAGTTGGTATCGCTCTTCTGACAGCGCAATAAATTCAAAGCAGGGATTTGGCTCAAGGTGAGACACTTAGCTTTCACTCCAGGAAAGCTAATTGTCAAAGCACATTCATAAGAAAGGCT